ACATGTTAATTATAAGCACCAACAACCGATAACGTGTGCTTTGCATGTTAACAAAACCTCCCAACATTTCATGATACTCAATTATAGGCTTGTATATGCTTGGGCAGATTAGAGGACCATGTCAAACGATGGGAAAAAAAATGGAGGAGGGGAAGACAGCCTTATAATGTCTAGCTGACTTTCCTTTATAGCAGGGCTACTGAACCACTGGAAGTGCACACATGCTAAAATCTTCCTCTGTTTTCCATCAAGCTGCTGTGTAGTGGCAATGTTGAATGTAGGTGGTAAGCTCATATATCTAATTATACAATAGCCAAACATTTTTTGTTAATGAAATGGAAGGAGTGTAATTGAAAACTTCAGCATAATTATTGCTTGGCAAGTGTCTGGCTTCGGAAAATTGCACATGTAGGAAGAAGTCTCAGCAGGAGTACCTCTGACTTATGAATCAAGCCGGTCCAAAAAGTTCTTGCAGAGAGAGAGAGAGAGAGATTTGTGTCCCATATAGGGATGAAAGGTTCACCATCTTTTATGATTACTGGGATAACAATGCTGACTGTTAGTATTACAGTTATAAAGTGAAAAAAAAAAGAAAAATGTATTTGAATCAACCCTAAAGAGAAATTGGAACGTTTCAGTTGTTCGTTATACTAGTCGTGATATGGAGAAGTTGGTGGGAGTAACGTTTCAACCACCAAAAAACACCAGGTGTTAAATAAAACATCTGGTATTATAACAGCACAACAATGACATTTTTAAGATGTTTATTTCATCAATACTTGCAGCAGGAAATGATGTAAGAAACTCTTTCCCTGTGGCATTAGCCACTTAGGCCGCTAATGCTAAAGCTAGCATTAGCGGCCTAAGTGGCTAATGCTAATTTAAAGAGCTACTTCAGAGAGTTAGAAGTATAGATAGAGATATAGATAGAAGTATGCGAGGTAATTGTGAATCAAATGTATTCCCCCATTTATCAGACTTTAACAAATTCTAAATAACTCAACCAGAACTAGTTTATATTTATAATACAATGGCTGTGAATATTAATCATTTGAAATGATTCTGGCAGCATAACCTCTTGTTTTATTCAGGCTAACAAAATCGTTGTTACTTCAAGAAGTTATGTTGGAGTCTCCAGCCTACAGTAAGCTACAAGCTTTCCCATTCCCAGAGCTGCTGTAGCCTTCAGTCACTTTGTGATGTTATTTATTTTTTCCAACAAGCTCACAGAGCTATGACCTGTTTTGCTAGTGGTAAGATAACCGTTACCAATGGCAACTTAAAAAAAAAAAAAAATCTTCCCCTTAAGAAAGCTCATTAGTACGCTCTGATTCAGCTGCTTCACTCGTGGAGAGATTTGTTTGATTGCTTTTACAATAGCTGATAGTTTACATGTGTAAATTTAGCAAATCTAGACATTTCACTGCTTTTATTTTTATTCTGCCTCATCCTCTCACTGTGACTCTTTTTAAAAAAACAAAAAACAAAAAACAAAACCTTATAGCTAAACACAGATATTAAACTAAACAGAACATATTCTGCCTGTGCGTATGTGATTAATAATCAGAAGAATATCACAGTTATTGAGGCAAAGCAGAACAATCCTGTGGGCTTCATCTTCAAAATATACTTTTTTTTAAAACATTTAATACATTTCTAACCAAATGGTTAATGATAATCATAATGCATTTTCACTCAAAAAATAATGATTATAATTTTATCATTTTCATTACATTTCTAGTTTTGTCATTCATTGTTGTACTTTTACCTTTTTGGAACGCTGCAGCTCATAAGACCCTGTCCTCCCAAATGCAGTATGAAAAAAAAAAAAAAATGCCATTGGGTGCCCACAACTGCACTTTTTTCATGTGAAGGATTATAACGGAGCAGGTATTTGAGTAACTTGGGACATCACCTCATAGGTTCTTCCACAAAGAAACCAGAGCAGCCAAGACATATAAATCCAGGTCAGGGTGTCTTGGCAGCAAGGCTAACAATGTTTGTCACAACTGCCCTCTTTCCATCTCAAGCTCAAATGAGAGAAGTCAGAGAAATATGGGATTACCATGAGTTATTTATGAAGCTGAAACCCAAGAGCCCTCTTTATGAAATCATCTCCGCTGATTGGGGCGGGTTTTTTTCTTCCTTTTCTTTCTTTCTTTCTTTCTTTTCTTTCCCCCGTCCCTCTCAGCATCTGATATGATTTTAAACGGGTTGACATCAAAGTCGCTTGTGTAAAGTATGAGTAGTTTTGCACGCGTTCAATCAAAATACAGATCTTTATCGGCACCACGCTGATCGACGCCAGCGGCCTGTTTTGAAACAGATACTGGGGCTTTCGTGCTCGGAATGGATTTTTTTTCAGTTTCGAGATACGTTGGCGGGTTGGGGGGAGGGAGAGGAGTCCAAAAGGCCTCCAGAACCTGGACCCTATGAACTTCCTTAACCTGGTTAAGCAGGTTTATTCTCAAGCAAAATTTTTAATTTAGTTGTCAGCAAAACACCAAGTATATGTTTAGTTTTACTGAACAAAAGAAGAGCGCGTTGCTTTAACAGTTACATATCCTCAGTTGTAAGCCTACACCGGGCAGAGAAATACACAAGGACACAATCAATGGCAGCTCATAGTTAATGAACTTTCTGACCTTTAGGAAAATGTACACTGCTTAACCAGATTCTGGGTAATTAATAATTCAGGTGCACCCTAAGAGAGATGAAGAGAGGAGCACCCTTCACCCACGTTCGGTCTTCGATATTATTTTGCACAGACGCAAGGCGTGATATTTTATTTTGGACAACAGGACATGGTAACAGAAAAGCTCATTAGGGGGACTTTAATTTGGTGCCGGTTTTAATAAAAAGGCTGAATGAATCTCGGCTGCCTGACGAATGGCGGGTTTCGAGCAGAGCAACAACTCACTTTATAAACGTCCGGGACATTTTAGGCCGTCGCTGGAGACATTTTTGTTGAAGTTGCGGCGGAGGGTGGTGAAGAATTACAGCAGTAGCTTGAGCTGCCATTGAGAGCTTCTAAATGGGAGGTCATGGGTGCATTATTGATGAGTTTCAGTTTAAGTTTCAGCTCTAGAGGAAATGATAAGATGTAATGCAATGGTCCGCTGTGATCATGTACAGCTTTGTCCTACATACTGTGTTGTCAGTGGCTAAAATGGCAACCCGCTCCTCCTCTATGTCACTTTTTCTTACCTTGCTGTAGACAGAGTTCTATTTGAACTTAAAAGTATAATGGGTATTTCCAAGTTCCCACCCAGAAAAATGAACTTAAGCGTCATTTTAAGTTCTGATTTGGAAAGTCAGAGGTCCCAAACTAAAAGTCCAACATGACAGCCATTGAACAGGACGTGGAGTTTATTCCAGTAATGAACTGTTCATTTGGGCTACTAAGGGAGAGTTAAGCTTACAAGTGTAAAAACCTCCATGCACAAGATAAGTCAAATTATTAAGACACATAGATATAGATTTAGGGAGTTTGGTTGGTAGCTGAGCAATTTTAAAACTAAATGCTGCCTTGCCTTATTTTGTTCTGATCCTGGGAACATAGCAGTGAATGGGGCTCTGATAATGTAGGAGGTGGAAATGTATTTAGGCCCAAGACTATTCAGAGTTTTATAGACCAACATCTTTCTAAGGACTAGTGTGAAATGATTGTCCTTCTGAATGGGTTGCTGCTGCCTGATTGACTCCTTGTACAGAAAACAGTAAATACACATTACCGTAATGCAACCTACTGAAAATTAAAAAAAAAAGTGTGCACAGTTTCGCTCTATCCAGTTTTGACAGCAAGTCCTCTTACTTAGATAATATTTTCAAGATGGTACTAGGATGAGTAATGCTAATAGACTTTATTGGGATGTTAAAATTTAGGGCTGACTCCATGACGACACCTTGGTTTCCCTTTGGCCTTTACTATTTTTGGAACCAAAAGCATAACCGTCAGCCTTTTTCGTGTTAAGTTGGAGGAAACTCTATCCCATCCGCTTTGATATTATGAACACACTGGTTCGGGTACTATGAGGGACGGCAGACGGGCGGTGAGAGAGACTTATAAAATTGTGTGACATAAGCATAACGGAAGATGATGTACTCCATAATCAAGAGGCAAATTATAGATACACAAAAATGTCTCAAGAATGAAGCCTTGAGGAACCCCACATGTGATCTGTGGGTATTCCAGCTTCCTCCCGCACTGAGTAAACATTGGTTTGGCTGATTTGTATGTCTAAGTTACTCTTATGTAAGAATGTGTATAAATGGTAGCCTGCCCTGTGTGTCTCTGTGTTTCCCTGTCACCCGCCTCTCGTCCAGTGAAAACTAGAGACAGGCAGCAGGTGTACTGAATAGATAGATGGAGGATGTGATGGCACAAATGATCCTCTTATGCAGATCAAGCAAAACTTTACATCTGAGGTAAAGCCGTTAGCTTTGGGACTGATTTTGACGTCGTTGAATTGAACAGGAAGCAGCAGCTTTAACTTATGACATAAACTGAATATTCTTCCAATTAATTCATAGCATGTCACATAATGGAAATGAAACAAAAAGCAATTCATAATAACAGGGACAAAATCTGCTTCCCAGGCCAACTTGGTTATTATTGCTGTGCGTATGGTGTTTTCTGGGCCTACACATATAATCAATACCCCTAGGCAATTTCAAACGTGATCACTTTGAATGGATTATTGCTTCGAAGCAAGGCTTTTCCATTGATCCCCTCATCATGTCAATCACCTACACTGACAACTCCCAACTCTTCAGATTCCACACATCAGCAAGCCCTGTTCCCAATCAGGCCGCATCAAAAGCAGCATGAGTGAAGACCCTGTTGCGGGATGTGCTGAGGTTGGCTTTCTTTCTTCTTTTTTTATGTACACCGTAATGTACTTGCAGGATCCATCCAATTTCAGTGATCTGCATCATTCTGCTTTCTGTTGTGCTTCTCTATCACTTTTTTTTTTTTTTTTTTTTTCTTAAGAGAAAAATTTTCCAGCAAAGGTTTAGAACGCAAATGCTCCACAGCTGTCACCGCTTTTTAACAACATGGCAATACTGATCTGTCGCATGATATTTGGATTTCTAAGTCCGATCCAAAATTGCTGCAAGTCACAACGAGAACCGACCGTGCAACATTTGCAGACTGCTACTGCTATGTCTAGCTTTTCCTTTTTTTATTTTTCGTTTTAAAGGCTTTTTATTCATTCCTGCAGTTGCATCAGAGGCTGAGATCTCATCTAATGAACAACAGATAGCAGAAGCTGTTTCAAATCAGTGTTGGGAAACTAGGGCTGGCTGGTGAAACACAGAGTGAGTTGTAATATCCTCATTTTCTCCCAGCTGGAGCAGACTAGAAGCATGTAACCGATAGTGTCTGCATGCATATTTTACCACCACAGACCAGGTGTAGCATTTCAGCCCATCGTACAGGAACTGAACTGATTTGACGAAGGCAGAGCACAAGACGTATGAAGAACGAGCATCTCGAGAACGAGGCCGCATGCAGGTTTGGTTTAAAATCACTCCGGTAGTTTATGCTGACGACATGTTTACTATATGCTTATTAGCTGTTTTCTTTGCAGGAACCCCATGAAGTCGTTCAAACGGCCAATAAGTTCTCAAAAAAAAAGAAAAGGACTTTAAGAAATGTGACACAATAATAACTTCTTATGGTAATGAAAGAATATACAGCTCTTTCCTTTTGGTGTTGTTTAAGCTGATGATCATTCATTTCAAGAGCAATTTGATAAATCACCATAAAACTATATTTCCCTATTCTGCTAGTTTTGGTTCCATAAGCATGAAAAGACAAATATTTGTGCTCTAGCAGGCAAATCAATAGATTTTGTCACAGCTTCATGATGTTACATGAAATTGTTTGCCCTCCGACATGAGGTGTTTCGAATGCATTATGCCATGTAGGAATAAATCTTGTCAGTTCTCCATTTATTCCATTTTGAGGCACACTTTTTTTTTTTTTCTTGTATGTGGTTAGATAGACGCATTCATAGTACAAAAAATTCACTTTGTTTGCAGCTGAGTGTGAAGCGGGGGGTCGGATGCGAGTGTCAGTTTCTCAATTTCTGGTCCAGAGGAGTCTCTGAAGATGGTACAAAAATGAAAGTTTTTCAATGCGCTCCAACACAGCCTCCATTTTTAGATAATTAAAAATGAACTGGAGAATGTATGTAAGAAGAGGTATGTCTGGATCTGCTTTCCAGATTTGTTTCGCCAATGACCCAATCTCAAATAAGCGAAACGCACAGGATGGATCAAAAAATTCAACATGACAGTTGGTTTAACATTAGTTTTCACTTTCAAAAGGACGAAAACCGTTTTATTGTTTGGTGGTGAAAATGTTAGTAGACCGAGAAATATTCAATAGACTTTCACAAATCAAACTTTAAACCAGAAATTGAGTTTAGTTTTTCTAAAAGAAAAAGACAAATAATTGTCTTAGGATAAACATAACACCACATTGAGACTGGACTGTCCATACATCAGGAGCACGGCTAACCGAGCCGATAAAAAGATGAAATGAGCCGCTGTTAATCATTGAACAACTCAATTGTAAATCTCATAATGGCCTCTGATAATGAGGAAGCTCCTCTTAGTCATATGACTGAGCTGGAGCCCTAATCATTGAATTGTTACAGTAAGTCACGACAGTTTATTGGCATGGAATTCCATAATGGCTCGGATCAATAGGAACCCAGGAGGGATTCCTCACAGTCGGATTTGATGTATCTGAATAAGTGCCACTAAGGGGAAGTAGGCATACGAGACAATGTCCTTACCAAGCAATTATATTAACAAGAGTGTTCTCAACTTGCTTGGATTTTTTTTTCACAAACTGCTTGTGAAGTTATGACTCATGAAAAAAAAAAAAAGGCTCTCAAATTGTCTGGTCAGTAAGGCCATCAAAAGTCAATTGTTTGGACAAATAATGCCATGAAACTTCTGCGAACAAAAGACTAAATCAGGCTCGTGCCCTTCTCACCCTTCCGCCCCCCTTTGAGATATCTGCGGTCAGAATAATATAAGGCTTAAGGAAGCAGGTTGTGAGATAAAAGATCCACATCACAATGATGATCTCTATCGATCCGCAACCTTGGGAACACAGAGGAGGTCCGGCATTTGTCACGTCGAAGCTGAACCCAATAGCTGATCCGCAAAGCGCTCTGATGAATTGGCCCTGTTCGCCAAGTTTGTTTAATTGATGACATGTTCCCTTTCAGGTGGACCACCACTATGTTTCATGCATTCATTGATTTTCCAAAAGACCCCCACCTTTTCCTGCACTTCTTTTCTTGGCTTTCCTTAGACACCTCAGCGCATATTACAAACCCGCCACCACCTCGATTGGACCTCGACGGAAGAGGAAAGCAGCGTGCCTCGAGCTGGCATCTCGACAGCTTGTCAAGCTTTTAGAGATGATTAGACAGAGTAAGTTTGCACAGGAACTGGGGAAAAGTTACATTTATTTTCTTCACAGACAACACTGCAGATGAAACCGATTTGACCCTTTTGACTTACAACATTCCCCAAAGGGGTTGAGGTACCTAAATAAATTCCTGTAATGATGGAAAAAGGAAGGGCTGTCTGGCTCTTCAAACATGGTTTTTTTTTTGTAGTCAATATATATATATATATATATTTTTTTTTTTTATTTTTTTATTTTTATTTTTTTTACTGTTTCACTCATCAAATTGTACTGTTGTTATCATTTTAAAGCAAATAAAAATTGTATGATTCCCCCCCCCCCCCCCCCCCCCCCCCCCTCCGCCCACACCCCACAACAAACAAAAAAAGCCCAACAAGAACACCTG